AAGTGGTAGAGTGCTAGCCTTGAGCTGAAGAGCTGAGGGACAGCACCCAAGCCCAGAGTTCAGGCCCCACTACTGGACCCCCAAAAAAATTGATATAGGAAAATCAAAGGACAATAATAATATTTGCTTGATGTTTTTGGCAGTCATGTGGCTTGAATTCAGGGCCTAGGCACTCTCCCTGAGCTCTTTTGTTCAAAGCTAATGCTCTACCACTGGAGCCACAGCTCTGCTTCTGGTTGTTGAGTGGTTATTGGATGTAAAAGCTTCATGGACTTTCCTGCTCTGGCTGGCTTCAAACTGTGATGCTCAGATCTCAGTCTCCTAAGTAGCTAGGAGTCTAGACATGAGCTACTGGTGCCCAGCTGATTCTTTTTTTTTTTTTTACCTGGTAGAAAACCTGAGAAAAATCTGGAATGACTTGACATGGGATATTAGTAGAATCAATCAGATTTATCATTTAGTAATCCTCCTTTCATTAAAAATGACCACATATTTTTACGTGCAAAGCAATTCCCCAGGCTCCTTCAGAGAGTATTTCCAAGTGCCTCGGATTCTTTTTCCCAGTCATCAAGGCCTAGCATTCCTTTGGATTGTTCTTCCTTCCTTCCACCCATGATCACTTACCTTACCTCCTTGTCGCCTCCTACTTTGACCCCTGACTGATATTTAGAGCATATTAAGAAGGGCTTGCTAATTGTGAGGAATGGTGGACTCATTACAGTTCTTTCTTTAAAAAAGAATCCTTCATCCACTAGAAAAAGGTTTTCAAATTTTTATAACTGCAAAACAAATTTGCTTTAAGAATAACATAGGAGAAGGACAAACTGAAATAAGACACACACAGATTGGCCACACTTGTAGTCGAAGTGAGAGAGGGGTTGTGTTAACCTCTCTACTTGTGCATACATTAGAAAGCAACAGTGATAGAAATATAAGACAAAAGGAAAGGCCAGAAGGAAAAGAAGGTGTTCATGTGGGAGTGTATGGGGGAGTTTTATTTCACTGCCTCAAGAAGTAACATTCTGCATAGACTTGTGATTTCAAAGGCTAAGCCTGCTTGTATTTTTCTCTTGTTGAAAAATCTAGAGGGAAGGGAGTGAAGATACTTCCAGCTTCAGAGGCTGGCAGCTTGCCTGATGGACTTCCTCTCCCTCCCCTGGTCTTGTTAGCTTCCATCTCCCTAGCCATCTCCTTTCAAGTCAAACCCAGTGCCAGGGTCACTTTAGGAAGAACTGATTTCCTCAGGATACCACTGAGTCTTCTAATCTGGAAACATCTCTATGGCTCCCAGTGCCCTGTTCTTAGGCTCACTTAAATTCTGTTCTTTGCTTCCTAGGAAGAGAGAAGATTTCACTATGCTGCATTCCCCAGCACGATGTCCCATCGGAATCGCTCCTTCTCTTTCAACCCGCACCCAGGGTATTTGACCCCTTCCATGAAGGTGAGCTGTTGGGTGCCCCCATACACTTTGGTTTTTATGCGTGACACAGATCTGCTCACTTCCTTTCTCTTCAAGGTAGCAGTAGTATATTGATGGATAGTCAAATAAATCATCATTGCAAAAAGACCCACAGGAAATATAGTCCAAAGTATTAACCAATGGTGGGCACTTTGTGTAGTCTGCCCACTGTTACTCCTTTTCACTATTATTTTCTAGGAATCTGTTTTCCTAGTTATGTAATACCTCTGGTCAGGCACCTATAATCCTAGCTACTCAGGAGGCTGAGATCTGAGGATCACGGTTCAAAGCCAGCCTAGGCAGGAAAGTCCGTGAGACTTATCTCCTTAACCAGCAGAAAACCGTTAAGTGGCACTGTGGCTCAAGGGCTAGAGTGCTAGCCTTGAGCTGAAGAGCTGAGGGACAGCACCCAGGCCCAGAGTTCAAGCCCCAGGACCCACAGGAAAAAATAACAAAACAAAAACAAAACAACCCTGTCTGGGTGAGAAGAGCGTGGTACTGGGGGAAACCCAGGCCTCCCACTCGCCAGCCAGGTGCTCTCTCACTGGAGACACACTAGCCCTCTTCTGCTTTTAAGTTTGAATGTTTTTTGTTTTTAATTGCATAAAATCTCACATTTTTACCTGGGGCTGACTCAGACCAGGATTTTCCTACCTATGCCTCCCAGTAGCTGAAATTACCTGAGTGTACCACCACACACAGCCTTTTGTTTTTTTTTAATGGTGCTGGGGAATGTACTACCATATATCCTACAAATGGTACCACGGGTTGCTGTTGTTAGGGTTGGGTTTGTTTTAAGACTAGAGAACCCCAGATTGGTACTCGTAATCCTCCAAGTATTTTCCACGGCTGACAGGATAATAAACTTAAGTGACCTGAACCAACAGAGTGCATTTATAGTTTTCAATATATCTTTATGTTGACAATATTAAGTTTCATTCAAAGTTATTACTCAATAGGTTAGGCAGCCTCTGTATAAGATATTATTACATGCTCTTCCAAATTCTTAAAACAACAAAAAAAGAACCACCAAGAATGCACATGGATAAAGAGACTGTGAACATGTGCTTTTTTTTGGTTGGTTGTGGGGCTTGAACTCTGGGCCTGGGCGTGGTCCCTCAGCTCTTCAGCTCAAGGGAGCACTCTACCACTTGAGCCACAGCACCACTCCCAGTTTTCTGAGTAGTTACTGGAGATAAGAGTCTTACAGAGTTTCCTGCCCCGGCTGGCTTTGAACCATGATCCTCAGATCTTAGCCTCCTGAGTAGCTAGAATTACAGGAGTGAGCCACTGACGCCCTGCACTGAACATGTGCTTTTACAAACATAAAATAGATTGGAGAAATATGTTCAAAGTGCTGAGAATATGGCTCAGTGTACAGTAGTTATCTAGAATGCTAAAGTATTGGGTTCCAGCACTGAAAGAGAAAGATAACCTTAAAAACAATATAATTTTGAATTTTGTCTGGGTGGGCCTCATTTACTTGTCAGCAGTATGATTTGGGAGAAGTGCTAGCAGTTATTTTCCACTAACACACAGAAAAAGAAGATGGAGGAGGTACCCAGCAGAGTGGTCAGTGTGCCAAACCTTGCCTCCTATGCAAAGAACTTTCTGAGTGGAGATCTGAGCTCCAGGATCAATGCCCCTCCCATCACTAAATCTCCCAGCTTGGACCCCAGCCCCAGCTGTAGCCGACCTTACAAAGCTGCCCAGGCTCTAGATGCAAAAACTGCTCTGAGGTAAGCAGGGGTAAGTGGGTATTATTCCAGTTCTTCTAGAGGGTGTGGACAGGCACCTTTTCTGGCACCTGCTAAATGCCTGGCATTTGGGCAGATGGAAAGAATAGCAGAAGGAGCCCTGTCTGGCAGAAATGACACTAGTTAAAGACTGGAAGACTGGGTCAGAAAAGCGAGTCTCTCTTTTTAAAAAATTATTACAATGGTGATGTACAGAGGGGTTAGTTTCACAAGTCAGGTATTGAGTATATTTCTTTTTAGACAATGTAAAAGACATGTTAGCACTGTTGATTAACCATTGTTTTTACATGTATTTATTTATTTAATCTGTGTGTCTGTGTGTGCTAGTACCAGGGCTTCAATTCAGGGCCTCAGCACTATCCCTGACCTTATTTGCTCAAGCAAGCACTCAGCCACTTGATCCACACTTCCACTTCTAGATTTTTTGGTAGTTAATTGGAGGTAAGACTCATGGACTTTCCTCCCTGGGCTGGCTTCAAACCACAGTCCTCATATCTCAGCCTTCTGAGAATCTATGATTACAAGTATGAGCTTATAATTGGCAGACACTAGGTTTGAACTCAGGGCTTCATGTTTGCTAGGCAGGCACTCTACCACTTGAGTCACACCCCTATTCCCTTTTGTCTAGCTTCCTTTTCAGACTGGATGCTGGATTTGGCCTGCCCAGCCTCAGACTGGGAGTCTCTTACCTTCACCTCTTGTAGCTGGTTGACACCACACCTGGCTTGTTTTTAACTTTTTAAAATTGGGCTCGCTGTCTAATTTGTGCCCGAAATCAATAATGCATGTTGTAAAATATACCTCATTAATAACCACTAAGAATTCAAGGAAACAATGGACAAGCAAACAATAGAGACCCTTCTGTGGTGGAAACAGGAACAACACCTCAACTGTTACAGTTGTTTTTAGCTGCTCCCGGGCCAGGCCACAGGCAGATACCTTTTGAAGAGTAAAGGAGATACCAACTAGATTGGGCAACATTTTGAATTCTAGCAACAAATGCTGGCGGGGATGTGGGGGAAAAAGAACCCTACTGCACTGTTGGTGGGAATGTAAACTAGTACAAACATTCTGTACAGCAGTCTGAAGTTTTTTGAACTAAACATAAACCTTCCCTGCAACCCACCCATACCACTCCTTGGCATCTATGCTGAGCATCATGAACCATGGTCATTGCCACACTATTCACAATAGCCAAGATATGGAAACAACCCAGATGCCCCACAGTAGGTGAGTGAATCCAAATGATGTGCTACCTGTATAGAATGGAATTTTATACAGCCATTAGAAAGAATAAAATACATCATTTGCAGGGAAATGGACGGAACTAGAACTAATCATGTTAAGTAAAGTAAATCAAGACCAGAGAGACAAACGGTACATGTTCTCCCTGATATGCAGAAGTTAGGTTTAAAACACATTATGATATGACAAATTACACAGAATCCTAGATACCCACATATAATGAGACCAAAAGAGGATATAATCACAAGGGTGCAATACCCAAGTGTCTCTTCATATGTATATAAAATAATATACATACTGAAGTGAACTCTGAAGATATGGAAGCAAAGGTCTTTTTTCTTCATTTGGTTTTTCTTGTTCTGATGTCTCTGTATTTACCTTATATACAGTGTACTCACGTGCACGCCTGTGGGAGGGTGGAGAGGGCATAGTGGTGGAGTGCACCGACACTGATGGAAGCAACTACACAGCCTGTGGTGGAGGGAGGGACAGGAGAGAATGAGGGGCAGATGGCACTATTGGACCTGACATATGTACATCACTGCTGAAACAACAACAAAGTGAATTAGAACAAAAGTTAAAGACCTTTAACTGGACTATAACAAAAAAGAAAGAAGGAAGGAAGTATCTTTCCCTGGAAGAAAGAATACTCCTCAAAACCACTTTTTGCTTGTTTTTAGGCCACAAGAGGGGGAAACCACCCAAGCCAAGGAGGCCCAGCAGAAGCAGGGCTCTGCGCACCAGGAATGGTTCACCAAGTACTTTTCTTTCTAAGCCAACCTTTGGCATGCATTACAGGATGACAGAAAAGCATTTAAACCATCAGAATGAAGGAAAACTAACCAACCAAATAACTTGCTGATAATCATTTCCATATGACAGCTAAAATGAAGTTTTGGTATTAACACTTCCAGTTTCATTGTGACACACATTCGTGTAAGTATTGCTATTAGAAATAAGATACCCAGATGACAATGTTACTAACTTTCCTAACGACATGCTGTATTGCTAGGTGTCTGCATTGCAGAGCTCCACTTTGTGGTATGTCAGCCTTAGTGATTCCCAGTCTGCTTGAAAAGTGGTTTCCATTTTCCTTAGGATACTAGTCAATCTCCACTTGGAAACTTGTTGCTATGTAAAATAATGTAATTCCAAAACGCACACCTAACCTCAATAGAAAGAGGAGTAAAACAAAGTTCAAAAGACACAGAAAAGCCAATCCAATCCAAATAAACACACATGACAACCTGCTAGGAATGTACTCTAGCTTGCATAGACAGCAGGCCTTGACCACCAAGGTCTAGGTGGAGATAGACAGCGGGATAACACCTACCTCACGAGGGGCTTTGCAAGGACTAACCAAGACGGTACAACTGGAACTTTCTACAGTGTTTCCTTGCTCTGCAATGCATCTCAGTTGCAGTGACCATTGTGCCAACATGGGCCTTTTGAAGGCTCCTGGACTGTCTGTTCCTGAGTCGGCCATGCCTGTGGCCTCTGGTTTGGGACCATTTGCCTCAGAATATGTTGCATCCCCAGTGCATGGACTGTGATCAAATTGAAGGGACTTGGAACTGAACTGCTCTTGGTGCTGATCCTGCTCCCAGCCTGCAGGGACTCTTCTTACCCTCTCCCTGCCAGTGCAACACAATTAGATGAGATTCAATGCAACTTTCCGTGGGAAAAGTATCTTCTCAACCCTTTGGTGCTGCTCCAGCAAGTGGCCTATAAACACATGTAATTCTATGCAGTGTTGAAGTTTCTGCTCTCTGAATAAAACTTTAAATAACTGGATAATAACAAAATGGTTGTGATTTGTATCACTTTTCCATAAAGATAAAATTAAAGGAAGAAAAAGACTGAAAATAGAAAGTGCACATTAAGTTTGATCAGAGCTACAAAAAAAACATAGCTGATTATATACTTAAGTCATTTTGAGAGAAATATAATTAAGCTTGAAATTCACAAATTAAAGGCAAACTTATTATGTAACCAAGACAAGATGCCAGTAAGATTTCCCTTTGACACTTTTCTGTCCTTTTTTGGTAGTGCTGGGATCAAACCCAGGGCTTTGCTCATGTTAGGAATGCACTTTACCACAGAGCTACATCCTTAGCCCTAAGGTAATTTTTAAATGCAAATCTTTCTCACCCTACAGGTAATGTGGTATATTTTTTTTCCAGTATCAATTTTTTAAATCCTATTTACTTAGGGTAATTTCCAGTATAGCATAAAGACACTATCTTATCAGACTGCTATGACAAAATACCTAAGTGGGATAACATATAAACATCAGAAATGCTCAGTGGTGGATGAGACGTTGAAGATCAAGGTATCCTGTGAATATATATGCTTCAGCTTTTTGTTAGGGTAAGAATAAAGCTGTAATTACTTAGAAAAGGTATCAGTCTCTTATTTTAGTCTGCAGGATGTATGGTATTTGCAGGCATCATAAGAACCTTGTTGTCAGTTGTCTGCTACACAAAATTATGACGTGATATGTTTTGTCTTACTTTATCATACAGTTGGTGTTCAGAGGTGGCTTTTATCCATCAGAGTAACACAGCCTGGCAGTGTTACACCAGCTTCTGCTACTCTATCTCCACCTTCACTCCTGCTAAGGGGGGACAAAGTGGAAGGCAGGAGGAGCCTTTGGGTTGCAGTGCTGTCACAGAGGCCCAAAGATCATTTCTGAGAAGTCTTAGGCTGACGGGTGCTCCAGAGCAGATTGCCCATCAGAGGAAAGGGGTCCTTGTGGGGTAGGAGTGGCATACCCTGCTGGACAGGGTCACCTGCAGAATTAACATGACCCATGGCAATTAAAACTGTCCTACTCAGAGCAGCAATGCTGAGGGGCCTGAGACTGCTCCTCCACAGCTGGTGACCAAATGCTCAGCAGTGTTAGCAGTCATCAATAGCGCAAAGAAGCAGGGAATATGTAATGAGGTGGCCAGTCACGGTCACAATACAGTTGTGGTAGGAAGAGGACAGTCAGCAGCCAGAGGAAGGGGCAGAGGAAACTTAAACAAGGGGCTGGGAATAGGATGAGAGTGCAAGATCAAGGCTAACAATGAAGACAGAATAAAGATTCTTGTGTGAGTCAGACCCAGAGACAGATGGCAAAAGGGCAGACCTCATGTGGGGCTGAAGCTCTATGAAGGTAACAGCCTGAGACCCACAACATGTGATGAGCCTCTCACAGGGCAGAGCAGCAGCTGGAGACGAAGGGAAGAAGATGGGAGCTATCTATAGGAGTGGGAAGATCAGAAAAGCCCCAGAATGGCAGCCAGCTATCTGTGTTCAACAGCAGGGCTACATCAAAACAGAAAGATGTTTACAAACTTGCAAGACTGAAAAATCGCTTGACAGGTAACTTTTAAAGAAATGGCAAATACTTGTATATATTCTAGTTCAAAACACATTCACTAAGCACCGGCTACAAACGTTTGTAATCTTTTCAAGAACCAACTTCATTATTAAGACTTCTCTGAACAAAATATAGTCAAGTTTTTAACCAAGAAATCTAAAGCTGCCAATCAGAACTTGTAATCAAGTTGAAACCTTATAAGAAAAAACTTTTAAAAGCTTTGCTTAGCTGGGTACTGGTGGCTGAGATGTGAGGATTGTGGTTTGAAGCCAGATTGGGAAGGGAAGTCCATGAGACCCACCTGAAAACCACTGTGGCTCAAGTGGTGGAGCGCTAGTCTTAAGCTGAAGAGCTCAGGGCCAGCATCCAGGCCCAGAATCCAAGCCCCATGACTGAAAAAGAAAAAAAAAAAATCTTTGCTTAAGCCAGGTATGGTGGCTTATTCCTGTAAACACAGCTACGTGAGAGGCAGAGATCAGGAGAATCATGGTTCAAGTCCAGTTTGGGCAAAAGACTCAGTTACAACCAATAAGCTGGGTATGGTGCCAAGTGCTTGTAACTCTAGTGATGTGGCAGACATAGGTTCAGACCAGCCCCAGAAAAACTTCGAGACCCTATCTGAAAAATAAAAGCAGAAACTTTGGAACATGTCTTAGCAATTAGTGTACCGGTGCCTGGCAAATATAAGACCCTGAGTTCAGGTCCAGTACTGAAAAGAAAGAAAAAAAAAGCATTGTTTAACCTAAACATCCAATTAAGGGAATTTTTTGGTGTGTTTACTTGCCAGATCTGAGGCTTGAATTCAGGGTCTAGGCGCTGTCCCTCAGCTTTTTTTGCTTAAAGGCCAGTGCTCTACTACTTGAGCCACAGCCCTACTTACAGCTTTTTGGTTGTTAATTGGAGATATGAGTCTCAGATTTTTCTGTCCAGGCTGGCTCTGAACAGCTATCCTGATTTCAGCCTCCTGAATAACTAGGATTACAGGCACTGGCATCTAATTAAGGAAATTGGTTGGTCTCTGGTTGGTAATTATAGATCCATGTGCTAACACACACACACAAGCACTCCACAAAAATGAGCCTAAGTATCATATATAATGGCTAAAAAAGCCAGCTGCTGTTGGCTCATGCTTGGGGAGACTAGTGGGAGAACTGAGAATAGGAGGATTGTAATTACAAGCCATTCTGGGTAGGAAAGTTCATGAGACCCCTTCTCAAACCATATCAGAATAGCATCCAGGCTGGATCATGTGCACATGAGTGCATGGGTCGGGCTTCACGCTGGAGAACGTGTTCCAGGACACTGAGCCACAGATATGCTACGCAGAAGATTGTGGAATGTTTGGGTAAAGGGATGTAATATTGATAGACTAAGAGAGAGAAAGAGGGACATGGACCAAAAGGGCAAAACACCTGTCCCTGTGCTTGCTGTGAAGGTGAAGTCTGAGGCGCGGCGAGGAGTGTCCTGAAGGTCACCCAAGCGCGAGGCCTGTGGAGTCAAACCCATGGATAAGAACCTTCCTTAAGGAAACTGACTCTGCTCCCAAAGATTAAAACAGAACAACACAAGCGAACAAACCTCAAAACAGAAAGAACCAGAGTAAGCTTTGGCCCCTTGCAGTTCACCAGTGTCCCAAATGTCCTGCACTGGGGACAGGGCCGGTCTAGAGCTCACAATAGCTCACTGCTGTAGTGCACAGCAGCATTAGCAGATCACAACCCTCCTAAGAATGAGTAAATACTGCCCAAATATACTTACCCAAAAAAAAAACAGCACCCAGAGGATCTTCCCACTGCATTATTATACTAACGCAGAATATTCTGACCCACTAACAAAGTATCTCCAACACTATAATGCATTAGATTCCTCTGCCTGAGATAGTTCAAAGTCTTCAAACAGAAAATTTACTTATCTTTGTACACTACCATGATGGGTAGTTATGACAACAGGCCTACAACCAAATTCTTTCTCCTGATCTTCAGATTTATAGTATTTTCCCCTCAGAACATGATTAATCTGACAAATGCAAAGAATGATAAAATTATTTTTTTTAATTTAAATTAGTAAGCCAGGTCCTGGTGGCTCATTCCTATAATCCTAGCTATTCAGCAGGCTGAGATCTGAGGATCACAGTTCATAGCCAGCCTGACAGGAAAGTCTGTGAGACTCTTATCTCCAATTAACCACCAGAAAACCAGAAGTGGCACTGTGGCTCAAAGTAGTAGAGCACTAAACTTGAACAAAAACGCTCAAAGACGCCGGGCCCTGGTGGCTCACGCCTGTAATCCTAGCTACTCAGGAGGTTGAGATCAGAGGATCATGATTCAGAGCCAGCCCAGGCAGGAAAATCTGTGAAACTCTTATCTCCAATAAACCACCAGAAAACCAGAATGGCACCCTAGCTCAAGTGGTAGAGCGCTTGCCTTGAGCTGAAGAGCTGAGGGACAGTGCTCAGGCCCATGACCACCAAAAAAAAAAAACCCAAAAAACAAAACGCTCAGAGACAGCTCCCAGGCCCCGAGTTCAAGCCCCATGACTGACAAAAAAAAAAAAAAAGAATTAAAATTAATAAGTAAAAGCTCCTTAAAATTCCAACAATCTGTGTTTCCATACTAATAGTGTGAACTTAAATACAAGAAACAAATCTCCTTTGTTTATCAAAACCATAAGCATTTTATAAAGAAATCAAACTGAGTACTGTCTGAGACAAAGGGATTGAGAGTTTGAGACCAGTAGGCTATACACTCTCTCACCAGAGAGAGAAACAGACAGACAGAGACACAGACTAATAGCTCATGAAATTATGGGGGAAATTCTATGGGAACATAAAACTGACATCATCTTATTCTCCAGCAAAGCAATCTTCCAAAATCCGGGTCCACAAGAGGGATGTTTGGTGAAACTGTCCATACAGAGCCATTAAGTCTGCTTTAGAGGAGCAGGGATATTGGCGGAGGCCTGCTCCAGGTAGGCCAGGGAGCCCTGAGGGATGTCCGCTGGCTTTTTGTGCTGCAGGTTGATGTCCTCCAGCACCTGCTGCCAATGCCGCAGCTTCGTCAGGTGCTTCTGGACCAGTGTATCTTTCCGCTGCAATTCATTCCTTAGTTCTGAGACATCCTACAAATGACATGGATGGAGTAAGCCAGAGCCAACAAATACAGGGAAAACAAACACAGTTCCTCACTGTGAACACTAGGGAGAAAGCAAACTCAAAATCAAGAGTACACTCGGCTTGGGTCCAAGGTGTGAGAACCCAAAGCAACTCTTCCAATGAATGGCGTGTATCTAAAATCCTTTCATTTTAAATTTCTATTAATAACAAAGTTAAAAGAAGGGGCTGGAAAAGTGGCTCAGTGGTATACCGATTGCCTTGCATGCATGAGGCCCTGGGTTCAATTCCTTAGAACCACATAAGGAAAAAGAAAAAAGCCGGAAGTGGCGCTGTGGCTCAAGTGGTAGAGCACTAGCCTTGAGCTGAAGAGCTGAGGGACAGCGCCCAGGCCCAGAGTTCAGGCCCTATGACCGGACCCAAAAAAAAAAAAAAAGTTACAAGGTTCCACAACACTTGAGGGCAGTGAAAAGAAATGAACTTCTGATCAGTGTGATAGCAACGGCACAGCCCTCCAGAGGCTGACGCAGGGGAATCCAGAGTTCAAGGGCACCCTGGCTACACAGCAAGAGTCTCAATATCAAGTCCAAACACAGGACAAAGCTCCTCTGAAATAAGCTTTCACCTGTGCCAATGACTTTCAGCCTTTTTTAAGAAAGCTCTTCCAGGGCTGGGAAGGTGGCTCAGTGGTAGAGCGCTTGCCTTGCATGCATGAAGCCCTGGGTTCGATTCCTCAGCACAACATAAGCAAAAAGAAAAAAGCCAGAAGTGGCGCTGTGGCTCAAGTGGTAGAGCACTAGCCTTGAGCTGAAGAGCTGAGGGACAGCGCCCAGGCCCAGAGTTCAGGCCCCACGACTGGACCCCCCCCCAAAAAAAAAGAAAGAAAGGAGAAAGCTCTTCCAGGTAAGTTCTCCTAACTTCTGAGTGCTGCTCTGTCTTGAGGCTCTGCTTTTCAACCCTACTCCCCAGCTCCCTACTTACCCAGAGGGTCATGAACACTAATAACCAGCAGTGCTAGACAGTAGCAAGCTGGAGTCCTACAGTAACTCCAGGAAAAGGGTGTAACCTACCAAAGCATAATCAAAATCCTTATATTGGTCGTAAAACACTGAAGAACAAAGGAAGTTTATACCTCTTTGATAACTTGCTCTGGTTTCTGGACAGATAACTGCAATCTTTTTTGTAAGAAAAAGCATTCTGTTTGTCTTGCAATATCCAGAAACTTTTGGATACACTGATCAACACCTTAGGAAAAAAAAAAGACCAAGAAATGCAATAAAGTAAACATAAGACATATAGCGCTCCCACATAAACAGTCAGAATATTAAAGCAGCATTTTCTCATAGGCATAATCTGGGATTTTTAATCTTGGCTACAGCAATGACTCCCCAACTTCCCATGTGTAACCAACATTACACATCAGATAGCTCATGTTTTTCTTAAATGAAGCAGAGACCTTCTGTGTCATGAAAGCCATGAGGTCTCCTGAAGAAAGCCATGTCAGACTCAGTAATTAGTATCACAAACAAGGGATTATGGGGAAACACAACAGACTTTCCCCTGCCGTGTTTCCTCGCAGCTGTTTAGTCATCTAGTACCCATGTGAAAAGGGCTCATCATGACTGATACAGCAAGTCAGAAGTGTGGATACACCTCCTACATATATCTTATTTATCAAAAGAAGTTCTCAACATACACCACTGAAAAGCACTGAATACAAATGAGCACAAGAGTCTTACTGATGATAAAAAAGATGATAAAAAATGAGCTTCTTACCAGTTCGAATTTCTTCCTGATCAGTTCCATTGACATAGTCCTGACTCACAAGAGAGGCAAAGCAGGCCTGTGTGATGAAAACATCAAAAAAAAAAATGTCATCTGCACATCAAAAACCTCACTTCAGCATTGAGAAGTAACTTCTCCTGAGGCCAGCCAATAAGTTAACAATGTCTCAGCATCCAAGACAATGAAGATTTCTGGTAAACTAAATCTTAACCAGCCTCACACATGAGACAATGGTATTTGTAGGCACCATCATCTAGTCCCCCCACCCTCCTCCGCCATCTGCCCCTTCCTCACTGTTTCATTTTGCATCGGAGCCTGGATACCATTCAAACACACCTTACACCCATCCCCCTGATCCTAATGTGACTCAATTTATCAGGTGCCATCAGTAGACTCTTCCAGTCTAAATGGGGTTCCCTCCGGCTCCAGTTCTATCCTTAAGCCCAATGTATTTTTACACAATGAACTGACATTGTTATCCATTATTATTTATTCCTTGCCAGTGGGGGAAAATTCTGCCTGGTTCAACGCTGTATTGAGTCCTAGGAATACTCCAGGTTGAGGAGTAGCACAGGTCTTAGATTATCAAGCCCAATAGAGGATGTTTTCTCTCAAGGAGCAATGACTGAGATGCACGAGAGTCTGTTAAGGAGTTCCATGTGCAGGTAACTCTCAGGAAATGCACCACGACGGCCCACTTGCAGGGCAGCAGAGCCAGACAAAGAACATGATGACAGCTGTCAGAGAGTGAGGTTAGAAAGCCTCAAGTTTCAGGAAAGCAGAATCGCATCAGCAGTATGCAAACTATACTTGGTAGATGTTAGGCAAATTTATGTCATCAACTAGATGACCTCAGAAAGTAACAGATTCTTCAGCAGTCACTTTCCCTACTGGACTTCTGAGAATTTCCTCCATCCTGGCAACTGCTCAACAAATTAACTACCATTCTGTGTACTACTTGAAAAGTTAATTCTTGTCAGATTTGAGATGTAAGTAGGGAATGGGCATGCTTTGGGAAACTTATGGCTAACCAAAAGCATCCCCTTCAAGATACCAACCAACACACAAGCTGGATAGGGATATGAAGATATGAAGAAAGGTAAGAGGAATCCTAATTTGAGGAATAGTAGTCCCCTCTTACTCTTAAAAAAAAAAACCCAACAACTAAGTACACAGACCGATATACACTGTATAAAGGACATCTGTATGAAGAAGAAATGACATAGCAGTTAATTTTTAAAATGTTTTAGCCAGTGGCTCAAGCCTGTAATACTAGCTACTCAGGAGGCTAAGATCTGATTTCGGTTCAAAGCCAGCCCAGGCAGCCAAGTCCCTTGAGATTCTTATCTCCAATTAAATAACAGAAACCCGGAAGAAGCACTACCCTTCAAAGTACTAGAGTGATAGATAGCCTTGAGCAAAAAAGCTCAGGGGCAGTGCTCAGGCCCTGAGTTCAAGACCCACAGCGGCACAAGTTATCGAAGTCTGTGTCTATCTACATTTTTAAGAAGCACAGATAACTTTTCTTAAGAGTTTACAGGATGAGAGTCAGTCCTAGTTACACAAACCTAAAGTCGGCCTTAGTTTGGGACGGTTTCGCCTGTTCTCTGGGGCCCCGTTTCTCCATCCATAAAAGGAGACGGGATTAAGTAATGTCCAATTTTCTTCCCCATGGCAACACATTCGTTCCAGCAAAGGGCATGTATCGAACGACTAGAAGGAGAAAGCCAGAGAAGAGGCATCACCCAGAGGAACGGGAGAGGAGGAGGAAAGCGGGCCAGCGCCGCTGGGCGGTCTGCCCAAGCAGGGGAAGCGCAGTCTCGAGGCTGCGCTCGAACCCGGCGCGCAGACAGAAGGGCCGGCGGGCTGGGACCCCAGGGCTGAGTCCACAGTTCTCCAGAAACGTGCAGCTCACGAGCCCGCGCCTGCGCGCCTCGGCTGCACACGGCCACGGGCGCTCAGCCTGGAGGCAGCCCCGGCACCCATCCCCGCGGGGCGCCGGGCCGGGCCGGGCCGGGAGGACGCGCACGCGCACGCGCACGCGCACGCGCAGCTCTCGTTCAAGGGAAGGCTGGGAACTCCCCAGTTTCAGCTTACCTCGAATGATGACTGCAACTCGTCCACCAACGTCGTGTTAGAACTTCTCGGAGCTCCCGGCGCTGCTTGAAGAAGCGAGGCCTGGCCCGGGAGGCCCGGTGGGGGTGGCGGGGGCCCGGGGGGCTGTCCCGAGAACATCCCTCCCAGTGGAGCTGCCATACCTGGAACGACTGGAGGGGGGGGGGAGCCGACTGCGCCTGCGCAGAGCGGCGCCGCGTGACGCCACGGCCGTGCCCGGTCAGTGACGCCGCGGTGGAGGCGTGGCGTCTCGTGGGTTCCCGGAAGCCGGAAGCCGGAAGCTCAGGGCTTCAGTCGGCTCTTCGGTCTGGGCCCGGGTCTGCGTAGCTTTGCCTTTCGTTTTTCTTAACGGGAGCCGAAGGCGTTCGTGGCTTTCCAGCTGCGGTGATGCGAGGGACGCTGGCCTAGGGACGTCCTCGTGGCCTGGCTGACCCGTGAGTAGAGCTAGGCGTTCCCCCGGCCCTGCGGCCGGAGCTTGCCCGGTCCGGCTCCGGACGCCCGGCCGGCGCCGGGGACCGCGGGCCGAGACGGTCCCGCTAAGCGAGCGACCTGCGGTGCGCTGCGCGGCCCGGCAGGGTTCGGCCTGCACGGAGAAGGTCATGGCGCTGGTCTTAAACCGCTTGCTCCTAACACTCGCCCATTGATCTCTTCAGAGCCCAAGCAGTATTTTTCTTGACGATACTGTGCTTTTCCCGGCAGGTACTATTTAATAATCTTGGGGTCATCGCCATCACTCTCCTACCTCAGTCTGTGGAGAAGAGTCAATCCCAAAACTATATGTAGAAATACAGTGTAGAGATAAACGCCGAGGACCAAAGGTGAGGTGGGAAAGACACGTCCCCTTCCCAGGAGATGTGGATTAGAAGTGCTACACAAAGGGACTCCTGAAACGATCCTTCCTCAGTGGCCGATTTAGGAAACCACAGGGAGGCCAAAGGCCCAGAGGAAGTGGAGCTGGGCTCACATCAAACTTACCCTGGATCTACGCAAGATCCAGACTCTGAGCCACTTCACTCATTTAACTTGACAGCATTTACACATATCTGAAAATATATTGGTTATTTTATTCTGCACATTTAGTCGTTTCTCTCCCTCCTCCTACTTCTCATGATAAACCCCCTGAGCTCTATTTGGCAAAGACAGAAGTAGGAAATATCTGTTGACCAAAGATAAGAAGAAAATGTTAGCTGGGTGTCATGGTCTCATGTTTGTAATAAGAGGCAGAGACCTGGAAGATTTCAGTATAAAGCCACTCAGGAAAAACAAATCTGAGAGACTTCCATCTCCAATATATAGATAAATATTCTTAACCATTTAAGTGTTGGCCTGGGGGTTTGGCTCAAGGAGTAGAGCAGCAGATGTAAGAAAGCCAAGCTAGAGCTCAAGGTCTTGAGTTTCAAACCAAAAACCAAAAAGGCCAAGAAGGAACTTGTCTATAAGCTGTTTTGATTTCAGCAGCACTGTACATTCCTAAAAATGAGGATCTCAGTTGTAGTTTATTGCGGGTTACAATATATGCTAATACCCATTAAAATAGATTTTTTAAAAATCAGGTCATTAAAACAGTAATACCCATCAAATGTTAACATACTTTTATTTAAAAACCATAATTTTTCTAAGACAAAAAATAGGAGTGCTATCATTTTTATTTATTTTTGTCAGTTGTGGAGCTTGAACTCAGGGCCTAGGTGTTGTCCCTGAGCTCTTCAGCTCTAGGGGAGAGCTCTACCACTTGAGCCACAACGCTACTTCTGGTTTTCTGGTGGTTAATTGGAGATAAAGAGTCTCATGGACATTCCTGCCTAGGCTGGCTTTGAACCGTGATCCTCAGATCTCAGCCTCCTGTGTAACTAGGATTACAGGCATGAGCCACCGGCACCCAGCTTCATTTTACTTTGTGCAAATTTATAGCTAGTTTGCCTAACACTGATGTAGGTTGCTAAGTACATGCTGAATGTATCTCTCTTGGATTCTCTCTAGTGAGCACAGATAAAGTGCTCGATGTATTTTACTAAAGAAAAATCATTTTCTCATTCATAGCATGAGAAAAAACGGTCTTAAAAAGTTTACTGAGGGCTGGGATGTAGCTCAGTGGCAAAGCACTTGCCTAGCAAGTGCAGCGTCCTGGGTTCGATCCCCAGTACCAAAAAAAAAAAGACAAAAAAAAAAAAAAGTTTACTGAGACAATATACCTAGGGGTCTAACACAGAAAGAAAGGCATGAATGGGGAAGCTTTGCAGTTGATACCCTGTGATTTGTGTTTAAAAATAGTTTCTCCATTCATGGAGAACATAACAATTGGAGGCCAGAAATGGAGGCCAGGACAGTGAGGCACCCAGGGGCCTAGACAAGATTGTCTAGTAGTAAGGCAGGCCTGGGGCTGAAATGTCTGATATACTTAATAGTTTGCTTAGGGAAGAGACCAAATGGTTAGGAGTCAGTATATGATCTGTTGAATGTGACCTTTCTGAAGGTAGGATTTAAGCACATTTCTTTAGGGTCATGATGAAGGGAGCTGTAGGCCACAGCTAGAGGTAGAATATGGCCAGCCACAATAGACCAATGGTGTCTGCCTGACATACCAAGTGATAGAGAATGGTTTTAGAACTCTCCCCATGGCCTTATTTGTGTGTTTGTGTGTGTGCTGGTACTTAAGACTTGAATTCAGGGCCTTACCCTTGTTCTTTCTCCTTTTTATTTATTTTTTGTCGGTTGGGGGGCTTGAACTCTGGATCTGGGAGCTGTCCTTCAGCTCTTCAGCTTTTCAGCTCAAGGCAAAGGCTTGAGCCAAGGAGGCACTTCCAGGTTTCTTGGAGTCTCACAGACTTTCCTGCCCAGGCTGGCTTTGAACTGCAACTCTCAGATCTCAGCCTCCTGAGTAGCTACGATTACAGGCATGAGCCACCACGCCAGGCTTGTTTGTTTTCTTAAAGGTAGTGCTTTACTTCTTAAGACACACCTCCACTCCTGGCTTTTTGCTGGTTAATTGCAGAAGAGACTCAAGAACTTTCCTGCCTGGGCTGGCTTAGAAATGCAGTCTTCTTAAGGATTACACACATGAGCCACAGGCAACTGTCTGGTCTGAATTTTTTTTTTTTTTGGTCGGTTGTGGGGCTTGAACTCTGGGCCTGGGTACTGTCCCTGAGCTCTTCAGCTCAAGGTGAGTGCTCTACCGCTTGAGCCACTGCACCACTTCCGGTTTTCGAGTGGTTTATTGGAGATAAGAGTCTCACAGACTTTCCTGTGCGGGCTGGCAGGAAGCTGAGATCTCAGCTTCCTGAGTAGCGAGGATTACGGGCTTGAGCCACCAGTGCCCGGCTTGGTCTGAATTCTTTGAAGATAGGGATTACATCTTGTTTACTTTGCCTTCCCAAGTATAACTTATGACACAAAGTAGGCATGGAATATTTGCCAAATCAATGAATCTTTTACTCCAAGATAATTAAACATTTCCTACATCTTTGACTTTGGAAGGTAGAAGGTATCTTTGGATTTACTCGCTGTAACTGCCAAGCATTCCCAAGATTTCATCAAGTTGATCTTCAGCCATCGTCTCCTTTCTCAATTGACCAACATGGATACTTAGAAGGTTGGGTCTTGTGCTGTGCGCAGATAGCAGTGAACTCCAGACAAGGCTCCTGAGGCCCTCATGGCACTGACCCTTCCTAGCAAGGCATTCTGTTGTACATATCCAGGGGTTTCCTGTGCTCAGGACCAGTGTTGGGGAACACAGATGCTGGGACTTTGCAGGTCTAGATTATAAAGTTCCTATTTTAGAGTTCATGAACTGCCACCCTTCCTCTCTTCTGTAGCTCTGAAGCTGCAACATATTCTGGTTGATAAGAGCAATGTATATGGAACTTCAGTGAAAACTCATTAAAATGTGAACTGTGGCTGTCCCCTTTGCTCTTCCTTCCATTTTGTGCTATCCTCAACACCAACTGAGAAGCTTGAAGGCCATGCTGAAGATGGACAGTACACAGGGGTTTCAGATGGCCCCCACTGCCCTGGAGCCTTGTGATCCCCACTCTGTAAGCTACTAAAACTGCTATGCTCTAAATCACTATGCTCTAAGTCACTGGTTCAAATTTGCTGCTGTACACTAGAGACACACAGAGAACAGGCAACAAATGAAGTATTGGCAGCTAGATGTATGACGGGTAGCAACCATTTCATCTCAAATCAGATTTCGATAAGCAGGCAGGTGATTCAATAAGCTATGCCTTTGTATCCCCCACACAAAGAGCTCTGTTCTTTTATCCGTAAGAGGCCTTTCACAGAAAGCCTTCTGCTAAAGTCTACTAGCCCTAGGATTCTGGATCCAGTTTTCTTCCTACATTAGTAGTTACAACTATGACTACTCATTCTAATGACCATGGTACGTATTCATACATACTTGCTACTCGCTTTTTTTTTTTTTGCCAGTCCTGGGGCTTGAACTCAGGGCCTGGGCACTGTCCCTGAGCTTCTTTTGCACTCTACCACTTGGGCCACAGCACCACTTCCGGCATGCATGCTAGACAAGAACCCTACCACTGAGCCAGCTTCCCAGCCCTTGATTTTCTTTAATTCTAGAAAATACAACAAATAAGTATGCCCACTTCCATTCCCTCTGCAAGCCAGTTTAGATGAAATATTATCATTACACACCAAATTTCTGGAAGTTAAAAGTAACCACAATAAGCCTCCTTTTCTAGCCAATGTTTCAGCCTTAAAAAAAACATACCATATTCATGGATAATTTGACCCATCATACAAAAGCAAAATCTTTGTCCTAAAGTTGGAATTCTGCTGATTGCAATCTCAGGAGGTTAGCAAATGTGCCTTATATGGTTTTGATTTTCTGTTGGTATTTCAGTAAACTCCATTTAAATTCAAGTTACCAAAAGCAAAGCATTGCAGTATACCACATGGGCAGACTCATTCCTAACTCTGTTCATGCCTCATTTTCCTCATCTGTCATAGGAAATAACCTCATTGTGTTGCTAGAGGGATATAACAGCATAATATATGAAAACATTTAGAATAGTGCCTGGCCAGAGTTAAGAAATAACTAATACAATTAGTCTGTGATAGATTCATTTTGGAAGTCATGTGCCAGATCATTATTTTATATACTGGTAAACTGAATCACTGAGTACCCCAAGGTCATAATTAGCATTGAAAA